ATACAAGAAAAATGGTCACAGATAAAGATTTAAAAGGTTTAACAATTTTACAAAGAAGAACTGTAAATTTTTATTTTTTTTAACCTGGCTGACTGGCAAAGATTAAAATTAGTCCCAGGGGTTCAGATAAGTCAGCCTGGGTCCCCTACCCTGTAGAGTTCACTCCCGCTGGGGAGAAGTAAGAGTATGTTAGAGGTGGGCTTTGCACACCTAGAACCCTTGAGGGATTTATACCTGTTATGCCTCGTACCAGCCTTAGGATGTCCTATCATGTCCCTCTGGTCTGGTTTCTTCACATGTAACACAGGGAGACGATGCCCCACCGTGCCCCACCGTGTACCACCGTGTAGGAAGGTCAGGTGTGGAAATACCCAGGCAGGGCCAGGATCAGGGCCTGGCATGTAGAAAATGCTCAGGACACAAGGGCTATTATTTCACTGTTACTCTTTTAGTCAGGACTCTCCTAGAGCTGGGAGTTCCTAACCTGAACTTTGGGGGTCCACTTACCTTCTGAGATTGTATACAAAATTGTGTGAGTCTATGCATTTTTCTACAGACGGTAGCTTTCCCCAAATTATCAAAGGAACCAGTGGCCCCAAACATTTTCAAACACTTGCCTTTTAAAAAGACTCCTTTGTAGAAATGCCAAAGGTAAAGCTGAAACCATCAATGGCACCCACAAAAGCAGCTGAGGCCACCTTCTCCCTAAGGAGGTGGCACTTTCTTCAAAGATGGGGCAGCTCTGCCAGAGGAGGGCTGTGGCTTGCCCTCAGTGAACATTATCCTTGCAGGCTTCTGCTGGACTTTCATCAGCAGCATTCCCATCACATAGCCTCTCCTGAGCTGCTGCTGCCTTGGTAAAGAGCTGGGAGGCCACCCACGCCCACTGTGGTATGCTCCAGCTGACAAGGACAGACTCCTATTCTCTGCCTCAGTCCCTGGGGCTTGGGCTGAACACAACCAAAACCTGTTTCTTCTTTGTGAATGCTCTTTCTGGAAGTCTGACCTCCCCTTCCCCAGGATGGATACTGAGGGGGGCCAAAGGCAGGAAGTTGTACCGGGCAAAGGAGGCAGCTGCTTATGTCACATGTGCTGCCCAGCGTAGGGGCCTGAGGTTCTGCCTCCTTCCTCGTGTGGGGAGAGGAGCTTCTCCCGGGAAAGTGAAGGGAAGTGAAGTCCCCTGGGTTGACTTTCAGCATTAAACCAACCTTTTTCCCGGCACTGTGTCAGGCACTGGGCACCAAGGGATGAGCAAGATAGTTCCTGCTCTACCAGCTTCCAGAAGATGCTCAGACAAAGTGGCAAGGCCTCAGGAAAGCCTATCTGAGATGTCTGGAAAAGACCAAAACCCCACATCTTTCATATATGATCACCACCTGTGAACTAGTTGAGCCCAATCACCAGACAGGAAGGAACCTGAGAAGTTCAATCTGCACAGGACAAGCTGACTACACCCCCAGAAGGAGAAAGGACTCGACTCCCCAGAATTTCAAGTTGAGAGGAGGTGTGAGGGAAGCCCCTCCCTACTGGGCATCAGCACACTCTCTACAGGGGCTGGGACCCAGTACACAGTTGTTGAATAAAGACACAAATTAATAAAACAAGATGGAATTTTCTTAGTACTTTTGTTCTTAGTCATTCTTAATCTGGGGAACATTTTGAAGAGACTGAAGCAAAATGTGGTGATTTTTTAAAAAAAATATGTATTTGAATGACTGAAGCTTGAAAAACTGAAGATCCTTCAGATCAAAAAGATAGGTCTCACCTTGTCCAAACCTTGGCAATTCAAGTACCTTCTTGCTGATGTGACTAACATCAGGACACAGGAAACTGCTAAGGGAGGTGGGGGACACCCATTCCTCAGTGAGCTTCCTTTAGAAAAAACAGATCAAAAGGGAACCTGGTCCCCCACCACCACCAAAAGATGATTGGAGACCAGTGTGTGAATCTCAGAAATATCCTGAAGTCTTGGGCTATATGACCAAATTCTGGGCACAACTTGGGGCCATGGCTCTATGGAATTTCATTTATTAAAAATTGCAGATGGCGGCTCGGAGCTGTGGCTCACACCTGTAATCCTAGCACTCTGGGAGGCTGGGGTGAGTGGATTCCTTGAGCTCAGGAGTTTGAGACCAGCCTGAGCAAGAGGGAAATCCCATCCCTAAAAATAGAATGTTGTGGTGGGCCAGGCATTATGGTGGGCATCTACAGTCCCAGTTGTTCTGGAGGTTGAGTCAAGAGAATTGCTCAAGTCCAAGAGTTTTAGGTTGCTATAAACTATGATGCCACAGTAGTCTACCTAGGAGGACATAATGGGACTCTGTCTCAAACAAATAAACAAACAAACGAACAAAACATTATGAAGTGTGAAAAGGCAATGTCGAGTCAGAAGTGCGGTGTCCCCATGGAGCTTGGCCCCGGCACTCAGGAAGGGCAGTCTGGTGGAGCAGCCTCCCTGCCGGAGCAAAGCCCTCCATCTGGGGTTGCCACATTTAGTGGGCACACATCTTTCTTTGGCAGTAAAACTAACTTTAAAACAATCACTCCAGGAACTTCCACCTACATGATCTTAGTAACTCTGACAACACCAGGTGAGAAAAATATGATCTCCTTCCTGCAAATGAGGGAAACTGAGGGCTGGAGAAATGAGCAGGCTTGCCTAAAGTCACACTGAGGGAGTGAGGGGAGAGAGTGACCTCGGAGTCTAGGCATGCTGACAACCTAGTCTTAGGCTCTGGTTTTTATATTATTTGTCAAACTTGCAAAAGAAAAATTGGTCTCCTCAAACTGCAGGCCTGTGGCTCCCAGCCAAAGCCTTGCTGGAGGTCGACCCTGTTTGTGGTGTAGCCTTGCAAAAGGCAGGCCCGTGATGTGTGCACATCTGTGTCCCCAGGCCCATGGAGAGACTGCCTGCAGGCCCTGGAGGATGGTCATGACACCAGCTCCATCTACCTGGTGAAGCCAGAGAATACCAACCGCCTCATGCAGGTGTGGTGTGACCAGAGGCACGACCCTGGAGGCTGGACCGTCATCCAGAGACGGCTGGACGGTTCTGTCAACTTCTTTAGGAACTGGGAGACATATAAGGTGAGACCTGCAAGACCTATCTATGCTACCCACGAGGTGACTGGGCCACCCTAAGAGAGGCCTGAGCAGTCAGGGAAAGAGCCACTCAGAGGGAAGTGCCTGGGGACCAGGGCAGGGCCTATGTGACCTAGACAGCAAATATTCCATGGGCAAGAAAAATGTGAAGTGTCATTTGGCAAACCCATGAGGACTAGTGAGGACCAGCTCCTTCCTTGCCTGCTGTTAGCGACCGCGGCAGGACAAGAGCTGGGAGTGCAGACCACCAATGCCCTGCAGACGGGGTCTGTGAGAATCTAGAGATGCTGGTGTGGGGAGCCTCTTACCCCAGGTTGGGGTTTCCACGGGGGAAGACTGCTCTCAAAGACCAGAAGGGGCAAGTGCTGAGGCTCTGAGGCCCTGAGAAGGTCCCCAAAAATCTATGTAGGGGACTGTGCCAATACTCGGGTCCTAATTCCAGGGCTCATCCTCCAGACTCTCAGTTCCAGGGGAACTGAAATGCTTATCCTGACAGTGGGAAAGGCTGCGAGGGCTCAGCCATGCATGGCTCTCCCTCCTCTAAACAAAGAGGTGGCAGTGACAGCGGCTCCATTTACTGGCTCCAGCCCTGGACCAGGCTCTGTGCTTGGACACATTACCTCAGTTCATCTTACGCCGACCCTACGAGGAATGCACTGTCATCAATCCAGCTTACAGGTGACTTGCAAGGCTAGGAGATGACAAAGTAATTACTGCATCTCAGGCCTCTGACACTGAAACCCACAAACTGCCCTCAGCAGCAACAGTGTGTGCACGTGGCTGTCATGCCTCTTTCCAGTCACCTCCTGTCCTCCACCCCACCTTCGGACAGGCCACTGTCTCTGCTTCCTCCTCCTCTCCCTCCTAACTGACGGGTTCCTGAAGACTCAGGCTTTGACTCTCCCCTCGCTCTGGCAGAAGCAGTACGGTGTGGTGACTGAGTCTGGGTTCTCTGTTCAAATCCTGGCTCATCATCAAGCGCCTTATAACCCTAGGCCTCTCTGGGCCTCGGGGCACCTATGCTGACTAGCTCTTAATTCAGTGGCTTGAGGGTTAATAACACAACCTAAGTGAAGGTTCTTATAATGGTGCCAGCTCACCACAAGTGCTCACTAAATACTAGCTATTGTTATTGATGAGTCTTCCATTTTTAAGGCTTTAGTGGCCCTCCCTTGCCTGGGAGCCCCGTGCTACAGGTAAAGAACAGTAATAATAAAACCATTGGCTTTCAGACCTAGACGGGAGCCCAGGTGGGTGGGACAAATCTGTCACAGCTCATGCCTATCCGGTGCGTAAGAGCTTGCACATGATCCCCACGTGCAACCCATCCCTAGACGAGGAGGATGAAGCTTGGGGAAGGTAAGGGATTTGTCCAAGGAATGCCTGTGACATGCCTACTGGGTGCCAGGCTCCCAATTCCCCACAGTACACATGCTCTTGCAGCAACCCTCACTTGAGAGTGAGGAATGGGGCTCTCTGCACATCTTTGAACCATATGTGACTGAGGCTCAGAGAGGAGAAGTCACTTATCAAGGCACACAACTAGGGGCAGCCTGCCTTGTGCTCTCTTTCACAGGTCCCTCTATCCAGGGCTGGGTGTCCAGAAGCCAGGCCTGCTGGCTGTGGGCATTGCAGGCTCTACACTAACTAACGTTCTCTCGGGCTTTCCCCAGCAAGGGTTCGGGAACATTGATGGTGAGTACTGGCTGGGCCTCGAGAACATTTACTGGCTGACGAACCAAGGCAACTACAAACTGCTGGTGACCATGGAGGACTGGTCTGGCCGCAAGGTCTTTGCAGAATATGCCAGCTTCCGCCTGGAGCCTGAGAGCGAGTATTACAAGCTGCGGCTGGGGCGCTACCACGGCAACGCAGGCGACTCCTTCACCTGGCACAACGGCAAGCAGTTCACCACGCTGGACAGAGACCACGATGTCTACACAGGTGGGAACGTGGAGGCAAGCCCAACTCCGGGTGGGACCCCCGACTTGGGGTTGGGAAAGAGAAGACACAGGATGATGGGCAGCTGGGCCAACCTGCCTGACCCTGTCCACGCCCTAAAGGTCCCTCCCTCTGCCCACAGAGCACCTTTACAAAGCTGAATCAGGGTAGCACTTAAAGAAAAAAAGGAAAGAGATGTATGAGGGCCACTCTGCGCCAAGGAAGTTGGACATGTGCCTGGCTGTGGCCTTGCCACCTCTGGTTTGAGGCACCTGGCACGACACTACACATCTCCACTGGCTCTGGGCCACACGCCCTGGGCTCCAGCACCAGCCCCACCTCCCACCCAGTCACGTGTCCTTGGGCATGCTGCTTTGTTGCCCTGGGCCTCAGTTCTGTATCTGGCAGGAAGGACAGTAATGCCTTGCAGAGTAGGGAGAGGGCTAGAGAGGAGGCTCCTCAGGTGCTGTCCAGACCTGGAAATCAGTGAAGGCTACTGGTATTGGCAGCAATGTCAACGCAGTGCTGTGAGGAAGCCAGTTAGAGTGATGAAGTGAAGAGCACATGCTTCAAGTCTAGGTCTTTACTATACTAAGCCTTTATTAAATAAAAAACAAGGACGAGAACAGAAAGTTATAAACAGCACAGATACAGTCCAGCCCTGAGACCAGACATCAGACTCCCCCACACTTGATGCCTCCCAAGGCCCCATACCCAATTTCTCAAGATGAGGGCCACCATCTGACTGCCAACACTGCCTTCTGCCCCAGCTTCTCATGTTGCCATGGTCGAAAAGCCACTCCCTTCTCATCAAGGAGTGAGCTCTGAGGACTGTCCCGAAATGGCCTGTACTCCAGGTCAGCCCTGATACCTGCATACTGACTGAGGTGGGGGCATCCTCACTTCAGGCTCCCCCAGTGAACACCCTCTGGCAGGTAGTTCTCCCGACACGGGAGAATGGGAGGAATATGACCCATCTATCCTTACACCACACAGACACTGTCTAGCCACAGACACCGAAATGACCAGCTTGAAGGTTCCCCCAGAGGCAGAGCAGGCCCTTGCTTGGAAGCAGCCTGTCTCCTAGGCCAGGGCTGCTGAGGCTTCCAGAAAAGCAAGGCAGGAGGATGACCCCCCCGAGCTAGTTGGACATTGGAACACAGGGACTGCTATGGCAGTTCTTGAGGGCCCTGTCAGGGAACAGGGAAAAAGAGATCCCATGATCCCAAACTGTCAACTCTGTCCAGCAGCAAGATCAGGGAATGGTGAGGAAATGAGTTCCTAGTTGCTGGAGGCATGTGGGGCAAGCTCAGGAGGGGCTCCTGCTGGCAACCAGGAGGCTGACAATGGCATGCTGAGGGCTCTCCTTGCTCTACAAATCCAGCACTGTCACCTGGTCCCTATGGCCTCAAGTTACAGCCCAGGAAGAGTCCCAGAAAAATCCCTGTGCTGCCAGGGCTGCATCTCCCTCTCGCCTTCTGCCTCAGAAGGCCAATATCCATCTCACCTCAACTATGGCCTTGGCCGCCTAGACCACTGTGCCCTCCTACCTCCCTGAGGAGTCGGGCCTCGGGCTGAATCAGGAAACGGGGACCCCTCAGCTGGGAGCAGCTGCTCCCTGTGTAGTGCAGTGCCCTGCGTGCCGCAAGCACCTTGCCCTTGCATTTTACTCTTGTTCCAGCTGCCTATCCATGGCAGCAAAACTCATGATATGATAATGCCAAGAGTTTTATGGAAAATCTTTCTTTTGTGAAATAATACAAACAATTTGGATGGAATATAGGCTGGGGAGAAATGGAGGAGCATTTTCTTTTTAAACATTTTCTTTGTCCTTCTATGAAGACTCTCTTGAGCCACAGTTTTGACTCATAACAATTCTGAAAAAAGAAAAAACCCTTTCTCCCTCTCACACCCATGTCAGGCCTCGTCCCCTTCAGAATCTGGGTGCGGGGTCCTGCACCCCAGCCCTAGGTAGCATACGACACACCCTACCTGAATTCTCACAGGCATCCCTGATGGTGGGTGTCATTTTTATCTTCACTTTACAGATGAGGATACAGTGTCTGGGAGAGGTGAAGTTGCCAAGCCTCAAAGGCAGGTCTGAAGCCCGGCCTCCTGTCACTATCTAGCTTCTTGGTCCAAATGCCTCCCAGAGAGGGTACTGCTGAAGGCCCCAAGCAAACGTGGGTTAAATCATCTCCTCCCTAGACCTTATGACTGCCTTTTCTTCTGCAGGAAACTGTGCCCACTACCAGAAGGGAGGCTGGTGGTATAACGCCTGTGCCCACTCCAACCTCAATGGCGTCTGGTACCGCGGGGGCCACTACCGGAGCCGTTACCAGGATGGGGTCTATTGGGCTGAGTTCCGAGGAGGCTCCTACTCGCTCAAGAAAGTGGTGATGATGATCCGGCCGAATCCCAACACCTTCCATTAAGCCAGCCCTCTCCTGACCTCTCACAGCCAGTGCCAGGCACCCACCCTGGCCACCCTGGCCCCAGCACAAAGAGCAACACCTCACCAGTTCATCTTGGGGCTGAGAGGACTGGGATCCGGATTCTGTTTTCCCCAGTCACTGCAGCAGATAATGGAACAGAACTGATACAGTGTTCTCTGAGAGCTACACTGGCCATATAGATAACATACCCACAGTTTTGTATCTCCTACTTTTCTTCATCCCAGACAGCCCCTCATGTTTCCAGGACAGGACTGCAGACAACTCTTTCTTTAAATAAATTAAGTCCCTACAATAAAAACACAACTGCAAGATACCTTCATAATATACATGTGTATGAGCCTCCCTTGTGCACTAATGTGTATACCACATATATATGCATTTAGACACATATCACATATATGTGATATAGCTAGATACATATATATGTTTGCCTTATATACTGAAACACACATATATTCAGTTCTCAGATGTAGAAGCTGTTACCAACAGCTCTGCTCTTAGGAAAAGAGCTTTTCATTACTGTTGTGTTACTTGAGCCGAAGGGCAGATCACAGACTGTATAGTCTTGACTCAATAATCCTTGGCATCTGCGTGGCTGGACTCTTCCAGGAATTTCTACAATGCTAATCTCTCACAGAGGGGTTCCTGGCTTCCTCTCTTAAGAACCCCTTTGGGCACCTAACCAAATTTCAAAGTCCCCCTCCCTTTCCACTTTTACTTTCTCTGTCCTCAGGACTTTTCTCCATCTACCCACCCACTCACTCATCCATTCAACACCATTTATTCAGTGCCCTCTGGGGACCAGTCCGGGGCCACTCCACACAGTTCAAGGGCCCTCCTGCTCTGCCGTATTCCTTGTCTACCTGCTCTTCGCCTTTTTTGTCACACAGTCCTTTCTCTTCAGGCAAGATTCCTCAGCCTCTAATAGGAAACAGTCTGAGCTTCGGGTTTCTGGTCAGGAAAGGGGAGGCCAGACCAAGAGCTACAGCGGCCATATAGATAACATAGGCACAGTTTGGCATCTTCCATTCCTACTTTAGCCTACATGTCATATTAACTTTCTCACAAATAATAACCTACCTTGCCAGGAGATATTCATTTGAAGAGAAGTCACCAGATTGTCGGGGCCCCCAAATGGCTACAGACCAGAGGTCCCACGCTCTCAGGCCAGCTGGAACCTGCATCTCATCCCCATACTGTACTTTCCTGGAGAACAGGTGCCACAGAAAGGAGAACTGGCCACTGCTCATGAGTTACTGAACAATTTGGGGTCACTGGACCCCTTAGTTGGTACGTTGCAACATGGTGGCTTTCTGAGTCGTGTCAGCCACTAGGTATCAGCCTCGGTACTCCCAAGACTATTGCCAAGACAGACGGCTAGGGATGAGTCAAGAAGGTGAGACCCTCCCATGGGCATGTGGGCACATGAGCCAGGACGTGCGAGATGGTGGACGTTTGGTACTGTCCATATCTGGGTGTGTGCCTATTACCTCAGCATTTCTCACAAAGTGTACCATGTAGCATGTTTTATGTATATAAAAGGGAGGGGTTTTTAAAAATATATTCTCAGATTATCTTTGTAATGATACAAATCTGCAATAAAAGCCATCAGCGCTATCTGGATATATCTATACTGTGTGTTATTGTTTCGGAATGCCTTCCTGGGGCATGTCAGAGCCTCTTCAGCACCAGGGCACACACCAAAATCATTTAAATCACATTTGCCCTATTTTCAGTTTCCACCTATATCCCCAGGAGTCCCACCAAAGCACTGCAGGCCAAGATAGCTCTCTGAGCTCCACGAGCACCTGCACCCTGGAGTCTCCACTGGTTCTCCTGGAAGTACCTCAAGGTGCTACAGTTAACACCTGAAAATACCTTTCTTCCAGGTCTGGTCCCATTTTACCAAACCATTGCTCAGGTTGAAACACGGATATCTTCTCCTGGCCAAAGCCAATCTATGTCTCCACACCAAGCCACCAAGCCTGCCACAGCAGACACTCTGACCATTGACTGCCACAGGACCTGACCAGAAGTCTCCACCTCCCACATTCCAGTCCAACTCCCCTATGTGCCACCAGAGCCATCTCCTTATAAAACAATCTGCGGATTGGAAGGTGATTCCAGGCATAATGAGAAACCCAAAACCACATAGGAAAAGGCTAATAAGAGATAAGATTTTTTCAAACCCCCAATTTTCTGCCTTCTAAGACTTTTTGTCTGTATGTTTGCTGTACCAAACAATTTTTCACACTGAGAAAGATTCAAACACTGTGATAGAAAATTTGGCAAAGCACATGAACACACTGGAAGACTCACAAATGGCTAGTAAACAAGAAAAGATGTCAACCTCAGTAATAACCAGAGAGGTTATGTGAAGGATGAGCCATCACATGTTGCCTCTCAGACTGGAAAAGATGAAAAAAAAAAAGTCAATCTCTATGTTGACAAGGGAACAGGGAAATAGGCACTGAGGATGGCTAGACTATGGATGGAAGTATAAATCAACTCACCGTTTAAAAAGAGCAGAGGGCCCCAGAATCCCTCTTCCTAATGACCAGACAATACGGTCAAATGAGAGCTTGTTCTAGGAAAATTGTAGGTAAGGAGAGACTAATGTTTATCAAAGTCCACTATCTGCTTAGAAATGGACTTCTGTTTTCTTTTTTTTAAATGATATATATACATATATACATATATATGTTTTTTTAAGTCATACCTGTGTACATGCATTTATGGGGTACAACGTGGTGATTTTATATACAATTTGGAATGCTTACATCAAACTGGTTAACATAACCTTCACCTCACTTCTTCGTTGTGTTTCTATTTTCTTAATGTCACCTTCACAGTAGCTCTGTGAAAGAAGGATCATTATTCTCACTTTACAGACCTGACGAAAATGAGGCGTGAAGCCAGACTGCTGGAAAGAATGCCCCAGCAACATTTAATCCAGCCAGTGCAAGAAACAGTCCTCAATTCCCTTCTACCAACCCCTTAGTCAGCTGTTGGGATCACAGTGGAATTTGGCTGCTATTTGGTAAATATATTTCAAGCTTGGCCCAGACTGTAGCCATTCTTCCCCACACATCTGGAGTGGAGTGTGTGGGACAGAGGGAACAGGACAGAGGAAAACAAGGTCCAACCTTATAGGTTACCGGTCTTGAGTCCAAACCTCAAAGCAGAGAGCTCTAGAAAGCCACATTGGACACTGTGGAGTAGACCTTTTTCTAAACTAGTTGGGATCCAAATGAAAGCAGGCCATGACACCAACTGTTTCCCCCAGATTCCACCAAGCCCAAACCTTCATCAAACCACACCCAGGCTATATGGAAAGATAAAGGAAGGAATAAGCCCACCAGAGATGTGGAACCAACTCTCCCTGCAGTGGAATGGGAGGGGGTCAGCTCTTTATACCAGTGGCACGGAAGAAGAGCATGGAGCCATATTCAGGAACTTCAAGCCAGGTGCCCAACGAGTTGACGCACCCACTAACAAACAGCCAGTCAGCATCTCGATCCGGCCAGATCAGTACTACTCCTTCTCTCCCATCCAGTCAGTGGCCTTTTAAGGCCTACAATCACACAGTCCTATTCTTACTAAATTTTCCATGGTGGGTACATCTGCAGACCCAGAAGGAAGTGAGGCCCAGACTTTCTCCTTCCCCAGCCAAATCCCGCATCCCAATTTGGCCAACACTTTGGTCACTTGGGGAACAACCCTTGCTGGGTTTCTGTTGGGAACAGGGCAGGAAGATAGTGATCTTCTCTAAATAAATGATGCTAAACAGAACCTCCACCCCAAATCTTGCCAATTTGAACAAGATTGAAAGAGAAACCTTTGAAAACAAAGGTAATGGTACCCTACCATGCTCAGGAAGGGGTCCTCCCTATCTGACAGTGACCTTTTCATCTTCCCATAGTCTTGTCAAGACATTGATTCTAGTATGAGATACAGCCTGAGTGTGGTTCGATGAAGGCTCAGGCTTGGTAAATCTGGGGGAAACAGTTGGTAAGAGAAACCCAGACAATTAGATTAAAGGAGAAAGTGCACATTTTAAGTGCAACAAGATGTTTAAAAGGCACTCTTTCTACCTCACTTTGATTTGAGACTCCAAAGGCTAAGGACAAAATAATAGCTGCTAAGTATTCCACATACTAGAGCAAGATGCAAGACCCTCCCTGTGAAGAGGGTGGTCTCAAATTGGCTCTGCAGAATTAGCTGACTGCCTACGCAAAGCCTATGTGAAGCCCAGAAAGGCCAGGCACAGTGGCTTACATCTATAATCCTAGGAAAAGGAGTCTGAGGCAGAAGGATCCTTTGAGCCCAGGAGTTCCAGACCAGCCTGGGCAACATAGCAAGACCCATCTCTAAAGAAATAAGCAAAATTAGCCAAGCTAACTGGTGGCATGCATCTGTACTCCTAGCTACTTGAGAAGCTGAGGCAGGGGGTTGCTTAAGCCTGGGAGTTTGAGGCTGCAGTGAGCTATGATCACACCACCACACTCTAGCCCGGGCAACAGAGTGAGACCTCACCTCTAAAAAATAGAAGTGCAAGAGGAAGATCCTGGAGGAGAAGGAGCTTTCCTCATGATATCTCCTACATAACCACAGGTTGTTCACTCACCCCAAATCAAGCAAGAGGAACTTCAAGGGATAATTTCCAGAGTCTGGCACAGGCAAGCCCAAGCACTCCTGTCTGACTCAGGGCTGGGCTCATGACAGCAGTGGGAGGAGAGCTTCAGGGGACACACTGAGGGGCCAAGGCACGCACAGATGCAGGTTCCTTAGGGCCAGAGGGCTGCCGGGATGGAAAGGATGGGGACAGGGAAGGAAGTACAGGAGCCAAGAAAGGAGTTGTAGGTGGTCAGCTGGAGAGAAGCACTACCCCCTCAAAGAGGCTGAGTCAGAGGTGCACAGGGGAAATTCTGAAGTAGCAGCAGCAAAGAGGGATAAAGACAGAGCTCAGAGGCTCTGGATTGCCACTGGCCACAGAAGATGCACCCTCTCCCCGCCTTGTTACTCCCCCTGTTCTAACCCCAAGGGCCAGAAACCTCAGTGGGCAAGTTGGGGAGACAGCAGGACTGGCCGGGATCTAGCAAAGCAGCTGACCTTCTGACTCCAGGTCTCTGAGGCTAGTCAGCTTTAGAAGTCCAGACTTGCAATCACTACACGGGACTGTTTGAAAGATGGGCTATTTAATAGACCATCTGTTCTAATAGACTCTATTAGAACAACTGGGCTGTTTCATACCTAATGCCAGGAAGACCAAGGGGCCTGCTAAGTTCTCAGCTTTGACTGGGAAAAGAGTAAGTCCACGGAATAGGTTCAAATGGACACTGGGAAAAAATGAGGTTGATTTCTTGTTACACCTGACTGAGTCCAGCTCATTTAATAAGCTGGTTACATAAGAACACGAGGTATCTCCCGGAGTCCATGGGCAGGGACACAGCTGGGCTTCACGAGGGCCAGGAAGCAGAAGCCACCTGGAAAGCCTTCAAGAGGCAAGGCAGCAACTTTCTAAGCTGCCCTCCCTTGCCTTCGCCTGCAGTGTCTCTTTCTCTGCTTCTCATTGTGCAACCATCTGCAGACTATTCTCTCCACTTGTCCTAGCATATGGCACCAGATGGCATTCCTGAGCTCATGTCCTCCTGGTCTGAGTGACAGCAGCCTTAAGTTCTAATGCTAACTCCCAGACAACCCACCCCGCTCGGGCTGGGTCCACTCTAATCCTATGGGCTCTGACCTCAGGGCAGAGCTAAGGGGAATGAACACTGCTGCTGGGGTATGCTGGCCTGGAAGAAGCAGGTTCCCAGAGAAGGAGGGGGTCACAGGCGGGTCTGTATTCACAAAAGTGTCTAGACTCTGTTCCAGCTGTTACTCGTCCCTGTCCTCCCCAAGGACCATATTTTGACCCTATGTTGCCATCTGGATGGACTCCATCCCCTTACTCATCACTTGGGTCTTATTCCAGACCCTCCTCTGCTGACCCCTTCAATGACCCAGATAGCACATCCGACCCTTCTAGGCCCAGGTGAGCCATTAAACGTGGTACCTGGCTATGCCCATTTGGCCCCTTCCTTGGTACGCTGAGTTTCCGCACAGTCTTTATGGATGTAGGGGTAACAAGGTCCATCCTGCTGGGTCCTTCTTGCTATATTTTGATCTAGATAACACTAATACTATTTACTCTCTACAGGGTGCCTTCCATGTGCCAGGAAGCATGCACGTCTCTTTAAATTCTCACAACAACCCTATGAGGTAGGTTCTATAATTACACTCTCTTTGACATAATAGAAAACTGAAGCTCAGATATATGTGGTCTTCCCAAGAGCATGCAGCCTGAGACACCCAGAACGTGAAATTGAGTTGGTCTGATTCCTGAGCTCCTGACTTTCCAGAATATATCACGATACCCAAGGAGGAAGTAAAACCCCTGTGTCTACTATTGCCCTTAAGTTCTCAGTGATACATCTGAGAATCATGGACTTGTAAGCACCAGCTGGACGGGCAGGAGACCCTAGATGTCAAGAAGCTACTCCACAGCTGTCCACCCAATTTATGTCAGAGCAGTGGGCACAAACAAGGGACAGTAATAGAGATTATTTTACTGCGAATTGGGCCTTCTAAA